TGTTTTGTTAAAAATCAAATTTTTCTTTTTCCCAGATTTGAAAATACTGTTAGGAATAAGTACTGTATGAAGATATTTGAATTTATTTATTTTTGAGACATCTCACTGTGAATTCCAGGCTGGCCTTGAACGCAAGATCTTCCTGTTTCAGCTTCCCAGGTGCTGGGATTACAGGTGTGAGCCACCACTTTCCACCTCTCATCCCTTTTCAGATCTGCGTCAGGGTCTGCCTGACTTTCCAGGCTGGCTGTACTTGTGATCTTCCTGCCTCAGTGGCAGGCATAGCTGGAATTAGTGACGTAGCACCACACCCTGCTGCCCTACACTGGTGAGACCCCACAGGGAGCTGTGAGGCGGGGGCACGCTGGGTGTAGGGGGCAGGCTGGGCGGGACAGAGACCCCCTAGGGGGACTGTGTGATAGGACATGCAGAGCCCCTGAGCAGTGTGCTCCAGGGACGGATAAAGCTCTGAAGTGTCAAGACAGGCTGGTGGCACACAGCTGTAATCCCAGCTCTCCTTGAGGCCGAGGCAGGAGGATCCTACCTTGAGTTCAAGACTAGCCGGGGAACCTGGCAATTTAGTGAGACCCTGCCTCAAAATCCTGTTTCCTATGAGCCTTTCCTCCCTCACAAGGTGACACTTCTCCAGCCCCAGCTGGACAAGTCCTTGTGACTGTAAGGGAGGGAGTGGCACTCCTACTCTGCAGGGTCCCATGGAGCGTCCCCCGCCCCCTCCACACTATGGGCGATTCCCAGGAGTCAGGATGGGCCCCAGCTCCGGAGTGGCTGAAGGACCAAGGTCTGTGGCTGCAAGTGACAGCCACCCCCCAAGTGGCACCTCAAGGACCAGGGGCCTCTGGGGCCTGGGATAGGGCCAGGACCACAGATGTGTCTGGGCCTCCACGTGGTGCGCATGTGCCCACAGGTGGTGGTGACTTGGCCAAGCACTGTCCTTGGCCCTGGCAGGTGCCCCAATGCCCTTGGCTCAGCCCGAGACCTGGCTGCCAGCAGGTTCTTGGGGGCTGGCACCGCCTTGAGGCCGCCCCTGGCTGGCGCAGCACACAGATCGGCAAGTGCCCCGCGGGGCTGTGATGGGCTGTGATTCCTCCACGCTAGATCTCACCATAGCTCCGGAGCACATCACCAGGCAGGACAGTGGGGGAGGGGAGGTTGGGGCCAGCACAGAGGGAGGAGGGCCTGAGGCGCGAGAGTGTGACATCAGGATGTCCAGAGGCAGACAGTGGAGAGGAGACTCCTGGGGCTAAGGGGCTGACTGCTTTGGCTGGTGAAGCTGGTGTGTGGCCTGCACGTGGGCCTAGGGGCAGCCGTCACTGTAACAAGCATGGCAGCAAGGAGGAGCAGCCCCGCTGTTGAGTGGAC